CCCCCCGCAGTGCTGCGTCTGGGGAACTCTGTGGAGGCGCTGGAGGCTGCCAAGAGGGCCATCCACCTGTCTGACGGAGTTCTGAGGCTGTGCCTGACCATCAGCCATCTGAACAGAGCCATGTACTTTGCCTGTGACAACATCCTGTGGGCCGGGAAGACGGGCCTGGTCCCCGAAGTGGACCTGCAAAAGTGGAGCCAGAGATCTTTCAGGTGGGCGTCTTCTTGAATGGGATGTTTAATGACAAATGCATGTTATTGGAACCGTGTTTGTGCTGCTTAAAGTCAGCTGCTGTCTAAAGAAAGGATGAGATAGGAAACTAATGTACAGAAACATCCCCTAATATCCTGATCAAACACATGGGTGTTAAAAACCATGTGCATTAATGACACAATGTTCCCGACGGAGTGTGTTAATCCGTGTGTGTTAATGACTGTAACTTACATTTTTACGTGTGTGCTAAAGACTGTCTTAACAATGGTTTGTAATAATGAAAGTGTGTGTGCGTTATCCACGATGTATGTTAATGATATAAACGACAGTGTGCTTTAACTGTAGTCTGTGTTATTAACAGTGTGTGTTAATGCAAGTGTGTGTTATCGATGATGTGTGTGGGTTATTGAGTTTGACTTAATGACGGTGTGCTTTAATGAAAGTGTGTGTGTGTTATTATTGATGTGTGTTAATGGCAGTTTGTGTTAATAACAATGTTTCAATGAAAGTGTGTATTAACGACTTTGTATGATAAGGATTTTAACAACTGTGTGTTAACAATGTTCAGTGTAATGACAGTGGCCCTTTTTCATTGATCTATTTCCCCTCCTCGACTCCTATCCTCAAGACTTAGTCCCGCCCACAGGAGATGCGAGCCGAGGAGTCGAGGAGAGAGGAGGGGAAGCAGCAGGCGGTTAGAGAAATGAGAAATCCTCTCCTCTGAGCGGTCATTTTAAAGAGACGTCCATTAATGATGACAGGAGGCACAGCAGCCCTCTGTCTGATGGACAGATGTGTTCATGACGACTTATATATTTACTTTGATTCATTCACAGTGCGGTATAATGAGACAATAACAGGCTACAGATGCGCACACACACACACACACACACACACACACACACACACACACAGACACACATATATATAAATATATACAATTTCAGAATCAGACAAGTCAGAGAGTCAGAGACTGGATATACCCCCCCCCCCCCCCCCCCCCCCCCCCTCTCTGGTCGCTACAATGAGGAGATTAAATTAAGGGCAAAAAGTTTTATTTACAAGTATTGAAAGTAAGCAGAGGACACCAAACCAACTGAGACCTGTCTGTCCGCTGCATCTACGCACTGTACAACACACACAAACACCTACACACTGTACCACACACACACCTACACACTGTACCACACACACACCACACCACACACACCTACTGCTCCTAAAGCATATAATCAGGCTACAGCCGTTGTGTATTTTATTTTGTGAAGCACTAAATGGTTTTAGACAAATATCGACTCTTTGTTTGTAGATATCTACTAAACTACAGCAAATAAAGAGAGTAGGCCTGTTATACTGAGTGATATATATTATACACACTGCTCTGCTTTCTGCACGGACCTCACAGCTGTTCTCTCTGGAAACATCGCGACGCGATGAAAGCAGTTTCTAAAATAATATCCAGGGGATGCATGCAGAGCTGTCATTGGCTGAGATAAGTCCGGCCGTGCGTCACGCCTCCACCGTTCCCGGAAATGCATCCCTGGAGGAGCCGTGGAGGAACCATCAGTGTCTCCTCGGTTATAGCTCCTCCAGAGAGCCTCCTCAACGCTCGATGCTCGATGCTCGATGTGCATTTAGAGAAATGAGATGTCCTTCAACATGGCGCGCTGAAATCCATTTCCGGGTCACTACCGGAGGACCGAGGAGTCGAGGAGTCGAGGAGGGGGAATTGATGAAATGAGAAAGGGCCAGTGTGTGTCTAATGACAGTGTGTTTGACAGTGTGTGATTGAGTGTGTTAATGAGGGTGTGTGTGTAATGACAGTGTGTGTGTGCAGGTACTACCTCTTCACACTGATCCTGAACCTGACTCGAGATGTGTACGAGCTGCACCTCCTCATGGATAGAGAAGCCCGCTACAGAGCCTCCAAATCCCCCCCCTCAGCCCAGCCCAGCCCCTCCCTGTCTGCTGACCCCCCCTCCCCGGCCCCAGAGGCTCTGCCGTGGCTCAGCAGACAGCTCCACCTGCTGGTGACGGTGCTGTACAGCAACCCCCCCCTGCTGCTGGACCTGCTGAAGACCCTGTGTGATATCTTCATCCCTCTGGACCGGCTGGGGATCCGCCCCACGGGGTCCGGCTTCGTGGGGGCCTGCGGCCTCACCTCCTCCCTCCTCTCCATCGCCACCATCCTCCACCCCTGGCTCAAGCTCAAGCCCTGAACCCAGAAACTGATATGACTAACTCTGCTTCACTTCCTGCCTGCATGTTTGAAATTATCACAGCGTCAGGTGTGAGGCACAGACCCCCCCCCCCCCCCCCTCCCATACATATTATACTGCCCTTGCTGAGGCAGCTCTTTTCACTCTCTGTCTGAAACCAGAGCCCAGTCTGCTCTGATTGGTTGGCTGGCCGTCACAAGATGTCCCGCCCCTGAGCCTATCACATACAATTAAGTGAAATTGACTTTGATACAATGTGTTGGAGCCATAGCCAATAGAAGCGTTTAATAGGGTTCTGTCACGGAATCAAACCCTTCATCCTAATCAACACATTTGCTATCTGGAAGAATACACAGCCCCCCGTCCTGTTTCACAACCATGACACGTAACTTGGAGGACACTTTTGACTGGCTTTGTTTTACCATCATTCTACATGGTATGAATAGTCCTGTGAGATACAGATGCAGCAACCTAACCCCATAAAAACGAACTCTGATTCTCTCACATTGCTGCAGTGACTTCACGTCATTGATGGTCAGGTGTGTGGCGTGGTGCTGCTTCCACAAAGCTGACTGCTATGTCACACTGATCACTATCAAAAGCTAACTATGGTTTACCACCAAAGGGTCTGTGGCAAAGCCTCCCCTGCACCGCACTCTGAAGAGATTGAAATATACAGAGCTGCTTTATTAATGCAACATGAACCTGGAATAGAATCTGAATGTGCATGGCCGGTTCTTAACATACATTTTGTAAAAAAGAAAAGTCTAAATGACGTGTAAGATAGGGATCTAAGCTGATGGTGTAGCCCCGAGGCTTATTTGTCATTTCTGATATTTGGGTGTGTAAATAAAATTAATTTAAAAATGTTTTGGTGTCTTAGCCTTTTGGTCCAGTTAAATATGCAATCAGTAAATGAGTGGTTCCTGCTTGTTGTATGTTTAGGAATGGACCTGGAAGGGGGAGGGTTAAGACTGCACGATGTATGACATCCTCAATTCGTTACCGAGGTATAAACTGAAGGAAAATCCCAATCACATTACCGTTAGCAAGTCAGAACTCCAATACAAACATGTTTATTCTGATTTGCAGTGAAAATATATTTATGTTTTTCTCCAGATCACATTTGAATACACCGGCTAGCCTTATCCACTGCACTTATTTACTACACCTGCTAGGCTTATCTACTGCATCTGCAGGTTTCAACTTGGATCTGTTGTTCATGTTGGGGAAATATTGTCCTAGGCCCATAACTTTGACCCAGTTTCTCAGTGTGTACTGCCCTCACTGAGCTCAGTGTGTACTGCCTGTCACTACCCGATGTGCCGCTCTGCCCTATCTGCAGTGCGCATGTGCGAGATGGTCCGCCATATTGGACAACTCCATACGGCAACCCAAGTAGGACACTTGACACAGTGGCTTTTAGCAAATCACAAAAGGAAAACACGAGAGAGATGAGTTATTGTTATTACAACGTGACTTCACTATTATTTAACAACTCTTTTTATTGGGTTCTTTTATTTGGGGTTAAGTACATTGTCAGAATAAGTGAGAAATGGATTTAAATTCTGTTAGACAGCTATATGCCATACATTTTTCAGTAAATATTTATTCAGTATGATAGCTGTCTAACAGAAGATAAATTCATTTCTCACTTATTCTGACATACTTATGTAGTTGTCAAATATGGCGGACCATCTCGCATATGCGCACTGCAGATCGGGTAGTGACACTGCCCTCTGAGCTCAGGCACCTGTAGCCTTGCTGCTGTGCTCAGTGTTTTGTCTTCCTGGTCCTGCCTGTTGGCGTCAGCTGATAGAGGTGTTATGGTTCTATGTTCCTGCCTGTTGGATCAGCTGATAGAGGTGCTATGGTTCTATGTTCCTGCCTGTTGGATCAGCTGATATGGTTCTATGCTCCTGCCTGTTGGATCAGCTGATAGAGGTGCTATGGTTCTATGTTCCTGCCTGTTGGATCAGCTGACAGAGGTGTTATGGTTCTATGCTCCTGCCTGTTGGCGTCAGCTGATAGAGGTGTTATGGTTCTATGCTCCTGCCTGTTGGCGTCAGCTGATAGAGGTGCTATGGTTCTATGTTCCTGCCTGTTGGATCAGCTGATAGAGGTGTTATGGTTCTATGTTCCTGCCTGTTGGATCAGCTGATAGAGGTGCTATGGTTCTATGTTCCTGCCTGTTGGATCAGCTGATATGGTTCTATGCTCCTGCCTGTTGGATCAGCTGATATGGTTCTATGTTCCTGCCTGTTGGATCAGCTGATAGAGGTGCTATGGTTCTATGCTCCTGCCTGTTGGCGTCAGCTGATAGAGGTGTTATGATTCTATGCTCCTGCCTGTTGGATCAGCTGATAGAGGTGCTATGGTTCTATGTTCCTGCCTGTTGGATCAGCTGATAGAGGTGCTATGGTTCTATGCTCCTGCCTGTTGGCGTCAGCTGATAGAGGTGCTATGGTTCTATGTTCCTGCCTGTTGGATCAGCTGATAGAGGTGCTATGGTTCTATGCTCCTGCCTGTTGGCGTCAGCTGATAGAGGTGTTATGATTCTATGCTCCTGCCTGTTGGCGTCAGCTGATAGAGGTGCTATGGTTCTATGCTCCTGCCTGTTGGCGTCAGCTGATAGAGGTGTTATGATTCTATGCTCCTGCCTGTTGGTGTCAGCTGATAGAGGTGCTATGGTTCTATGCTCCTGCCTGTTGGCGTCAGCTGATAGAGGTGTTATGGTTCTATGTTCCTGCCTGTTGGATCAGCTGATAGAGGTGCTATGGTTCTATGCTCCTGCCTGTTGGCGTCAGCTGATAGAGGTGTTATGATTCTATGCTCCTGCCTGTTGGATCAGCTGATAGAGGTGTAATGATTCTATGTTCCTGCCTGTTGGCGTCAGCTGATAGAGGTGTTATGGTTCTATGTTCCTGCCTGTTGGATCAGCTGATAGAGGTGTTATGATTCTATGCTCCTGCCTGTTGGATCAGCTGATAGAGGTGTAATGATTCTATGTTCCTGCCTGTTGGCGTCAGCTGATAGAGGTGTTATGGTTCTATGTTCCTGCCTGTTGGATCAGCTGATAGAGGTGCTATGGTTCTATGCTCCTGCCTGTTGGTGTCAGCTGATAGAGGTGCTATGGTTCTATGTTCCTGCCTGTTGGATCAGCTGATAGAGGTGCTATGGTTCTATGCTCCTGCCTGTTGGCGTCAGCTGATAGAGGTGCTATGGTTCTATGCTCCTGCCTGTTGGATCAGCTGATAGAGGTGCTATGGTTCTATGTTCCTGCCTGTTGGATCAGCTGATAGAGGTGCTATGGTTCTATGTTCCTGCCTGTTGGATCAGCTGATAGAGGTGCTATGGTTCTATGTTCCTGCCTGTTGGATCAGCTGATAGAGGTGCTATGGTTCTATGCTCCTGCCTGTTGGCGTCAGCTGATAGAGGTGCTATGGTTCTATGTTCCTGCCTGTTGGATCAGCTGATATGGTTCTATGCTCCTGCCTGTTGGATCAGCTGATAGAGGTGCTATGGTTCTATGCTCCTGCCTGTTGGATCAGCTGATAGAGGTTCTATGCTCCTGCCTGTTGGCGTCAGCTGATAGAGGTGTTATGGTTCTATGCTCCTGCCTGTTGGCGTCAGCTGATAGAGGTGCTATGGTTCTATGTTCCTGCCTGTTGGATCAGCTGATAGAGGTGCTATGGTTCTATGTTCCTGCCTGTTGGATCAGCTGATATGGTTCTATGCTCCTGCCTGTTGGATCAGCTGATAGAGGTGCTATGGTTCTATGTTCCTGCCTGTTGGATCAGCTGATAGAGGTGCTATGGTTCTATGCTCCTGCCTGTTGGCGTCAGCTGATAGAGGTGTTATGGTTCTATGTTCCTGCCTGTTGGCGTCAGCTGATAGAGGTGCTATGGTTCTATGCTCCTGCCTGTTGGATCAGCTGATAGAGGTGTTATGGTTCTATGTTCCTGCCTGTTGGATCAGCTGATAGAGGTGTTATGGTTCTATGCTCCTGCCTGTTGGCGTCAGCTGATAGAGGTGTTATGATTCTATGCTCCTGCCTGTTGGTGTCAGCTGATAGAGGTGTTATGGTTCTATGCTCCTGCCTGTTGGCGTCAGCTGATAGAGGTGTTATGATTCTATGCTCCTGCCTGTTGGTGTCAGCTGATAGAGGTGCTATGGTTCTATGCTCCTGCCTGTTGGCGTCAGCTGATAGAGGTGTTATGATTCTATGCTCCTGCCTGTTGGTGTCAGCTGATAGAGGTGCTATGGTTCTATGTTCCTGCCTGTTGGATCAGCTGATAGAGGTGCTATGGTTCTATGCTCCTGCCTGTTGGTGTCAGCTGATAGAGGTGTTATGATTCTACGCTCCTGCCTGTTGGCGTCAGCTGATAGAGGTGTTATGGTTCTATGTTCCTGCCTGTTGGATCAGCTGATAGAGGTGTTATGGTTCTATGCTCCTGCCTGTTGGTGTCAGCTGATAGAGGTGTTATGGTTCTATGTTCCTGCCTGTTGGATCAGCTGAGAGAGGTGTTATGGTTCTATGTTCCTGCCTGTTGGATCAGCTGATAGAGGTGTTATGGTTCTATGTTCCTGCCTGTTGGATCAGCTGAGAGAGGTGTTATGGTTCTATGTTCCTGCCTGTTGGATCAGCTGATAGAGGTGTTATGGTTCTATGTTCCTGCCTGTTGGATCAGCTGAGAGAGGTGTTATGGTTCTATGTTCCTGCCTGTTGGTGTCAGCTGATAGAGGTGTTATGGTTCTATGTTCCTGCCTGTTGGATCAGCTGAGAGAGGTGTTATGGTTCTATGTTCCTGCCTGTTGGATCAGCTGAGAGAGGTGTTATGGTTCTATGTTCCTGCCTGTTGGTGTCAGCTGATAGAGGTGTTATGGTTCTATGTTCCTGCCTGTTGGATCAGCTGAGAGAGGTGTTATGGTTCTATGTTCCTGCCTGTTGGATCAGCTGAGAGAGGTGTTATGGTTCTATGTTCCTGCCTGTTGGTGTCAGCTGATAGAGGTGTTATGGTTCTATGTTCCTGCCTGTTGGATCAGCTGAGAGAGGTGTTATGGTTCTATGTTCCTGCCTGTTGGATCAGCTGATAGAGGTGTTATGGTTCTATGTTCCTGCCTGTTGGATCAGCTGATAGAGGTGCTATGGTTCTATGTTCCTGCCTGTTGGATCAGCTGAGAGAGGTGTTATGGTGCTTTGCCTGTTGTATCTTGTTATGCATCATGTTGATTATTCTCTCAGAACCAGCTAAATACATACATGGTTCTGGGGTAGAGATCTTCAGAATTGGTTTGGCACGCCACTGTCACCTCGTGGCGGCAGCACATGTCTTGTGAATTCTCTGTTCTGATTTGAACGTGTCACCTTAACCACGACTACACCGTCAGAATGTCAGGGACCACAAGGGCACGAGAGGAACAAATCACAGGACTCGAGCTAAATAAAAACAAAATGTGTTTAATTCAGGTCGTTACTGTAACAAAAGGAAAGTAAAAACAGTCAAATAAAATGAGGCCAGGGAGTGGGAACATTTTCCTGCTGGTGTTTGTGTCCAGGTTACTGCGTCTCCGCGTCTGAGGAGGCTGTGGGAAGAGCAGAGGGGGGTCAGTGAAGCCTGAACCACTGCATGGCATTCATGCAGTGGGAACACTGCTTTATACCCAGTCCTGTTGCTATGGGAGTCAGCTGGAAGATCAACCTCTCTAACCTCGCTGATCTCAGATCCCTCAAGAATTTGCCTAGATACTTTAACTTAAGCAGCAGATTTCTGACTGCATGCACTATATATCACAACATAACAATATTGCAGTATGACAGTTGAATGACCCTGTATATTTGCCTATTATTGATATTAACTAATCACAG